TGCAGCTGGTCACACCCTTTCTGGGTGGGGGTCCCCACTGGGGTGCCTGGCCAGCCTGGGTGAGGGGCTGATGGCTGTTAGCAGCTGGTAACACCCCCTTCAGGGTGGGGGTCCCCACTGGGGTGCTTGGCCAGCCTGAGTGAGGGGCTGATGACTGTTTGTAGGCTGGTCAAGCCCCCCTCAGTGGGGACCCTCACCCCATGGAGGTTTGGCAAGCCTGGGTGAGGGCTGATGGCTGTTTGCAGGCTGGCCACACCCCCTTTAAGGTGGGGGTCCCCACTGGGGTGCCTGGCCAGTCTGGGTGAGAGGCTGAGGACTGTTTTCAGGCTGGCCAAGCCCGTCCCCGGTGATGGAAGCTCCCAGTCTCTCCTTTTTTCCTTTTTTTTAATTCTGGGATTTATTTACCTTATATAATTGAAACTGTTGCTTTGAGCGGAGCTCAGAGTCACCACGGCAGGGGGGAGGCTGGGCTTCCTGCTCGCTCCAGCTCCGTGGCCACGGCTGGCCGAAAGCAGGTATCTGGGGTTTATTTGCCTTCTATAATTGAAACTTCGTTGCTTTGAGTGGAGCTCAGATCCACCGCGGCAGTTGGGAAGCTTGGCTTCCTCCATAATTGGGGCAACCAAGCCTCCTGCTCACTCTAGCTCCATGGCTGCCAGCCGCCATCTTGGTTTGGTTAATTTGCATATAGCCTCTCTGATTGGCTGGTGGGCGTGGCTTAAGGCATAGCGAAGGTTTGATCAATTTGCATGTTTGTCTTTTATTAGTGTAGATAGAACTGCCATAATGTCCAGCAATTTTACTTCTGTGTATATATCCTAGGAAGTGAGAACAGGCGATTGAAGAGATGCATGCACTCCCATATTTATTGTAGCATTATTCACAATAGCCAAGATTTTATACACATGCACGCACGTGTGTGCACATGTGCACGCACACACACAGGAAGATTCTTAGTCTGTTGGATAGATTGCCCAGATTTTTGAATGTTGAACCATCTTTACATGACTGAGATAAATCCCACTTGGTTGTGGAGAAGCATCTATACTAATAAAAGTGTAATATGCTAATTAGAGTAGACAGCCAAAAGACCTTCCAGACGTCATTTCGGACGTCCTCCTGGACAAAGCCGCAGTGGCGGAGGCCTAGGCAGAGGCAGTTAAGGGCAATCAGGCTGGCAGGGGAGCAGTTAGGGGGGTGATCAGGCTGGCAGGGGAACAATTAGGGGGTGATCAGGCCAGCAGGAGAGTGGTTAGGGGTGATCAGGCTGACAGGGGAGCAGTTAGGGGCCATCAGGCAGGCAGGCAGAGGTGGTTAGGGACAATCAGGCAGGCAGGCGAGCGGTTAGGAGCCAGCAGTCCTGGATTGTGAGAGGGATGTCTAACTGCCAGTTGTGGGGTCAGGCCTAAACCAGCAGTTGGACATTCCCTAAGGAGTCCCAGATTGGAGAGGGTGCAGGCCAAGCTAAGGGACCCCCTCCCCCGCACACGAATTTTGTGCACCAGACTCCTAGTTCTTTTATAAGAATGATTGGATTCAGTTTGCTAATATTTTCTTCATGAGAGAAGAAAACCCCAGCATTTGGAGAGCCTATCTAGGCTCAGAGACCTTGGCAAACTCTGTTATGTCCTCAGTGATCATATATCCCAGTGGGATGCTAGAACGAGTCTGCTGGCTCATGAAAAGCATTTGCTAAATTTTTAGGAATTTCGTAAGGCAATTACTAAGCACAGCTGAAAGGAATTTTTAGGGGTAAAGTAGGCGGGTTTAGGAAGTTTTAGGAATTAGGGATTCCATGGGGAGAGCCATAGGGCTGCAAAGCTGGGAGCTGCAGAAGGTATACATTTCCATAGAATAAGGAGGCTGGGAGCTGCAGAAGGTATACCATTACAGAATAAAGGAAAGGATGACACTCATTGAGAGAGGGAAGAGGAAGGCCAAAGGGAATAGAAAAACAATAAGGGAAAAGAACGGAACCTCATGTGAGGTTTGAGCTCTGAAGCTGCTAAAGTGACCAATCAGAGGTGATATCAAGACACAAAGGGCTATGAGATTTGGGGAATGGCCCCTCATAGTCCCGGATTGCAATAAATGTGACTCTTTAATTTGACTTCTTGAGGCATCCTTCTGTGATTCACGGGGTTGGATTTACTTTTGGCAACCTGGTTGGAATGTATCTGGCTCAAAATTATGACATGCCAAACCTGGCTAAAAAACTTGAAGAAATTAAAAAGGACATGGATGCCAAGAAGAAACCCCCTAATCCATGAGGCCAACTCCAGAGCACTGGCTCCAGGAAATCCTGACTCTCCTCTTCTCCAGGGCCTCCTTTACACCTGAACCAAAGCTTCTGTCTTCTGTCCAGTCTCAGCCTTTGCTTCGAGCACAAATGGAGCCACAAGTTAAGAACTGTGCTTACTACCCACTGTGTGGGAAAACATATTTGCCAACGTCATATCTGATAAGGGCTTAATCTCCAAAATTTATAGGGAACTCACACAACTTAACAAAAGGAAGATAAACAATCCAATCAAAAAATGGGCAAAGGACCTAAATAGAC